AATCGTATTTGATGATCTGTTCGAACCGGCTTCTTCTTCCAATGCTACCCTTTTCTTACCTTAACTACTCGATATTCCATACCGTTCCTTGAGCTTACCTCGGATTTTTTTGAAAGACTTGTCAAAGATTAAGGAGTCCATGCGGCTGGACGCACTTCATCGGAAAATTTACTAAAATTCTTGATTTTCTCGGACAACGCTCAATGAAGATGTCAATGCCATAGGTTTCAGAACACTTAAGTCCCAAAAAAGCATAGAGGAAGTCAGTAGAATTTCAGTTGTTCGGTTCTCTTTAATTACATATTGTTGTCGTTTTTCCTCGCTATCCATTGATGACTTAAGCATTTATTTAAGTATGTAAATGATACTTTTATTTTTCCCTTTGATAGAGTGGAATTAACGGAGCCGCTGATGTTCGGTTATTTCAATCGAGTAAAGGGCGTAGAAGGAAAAGGTGTACCAAGCCCGGCCAGGTTAAAAATAGTTCTAAACCTTTCGTAGAAAGAAGTTCGTAGCCGAAAAAACGACTAATGTTTATTTATTGTGAACTCCAAGTTTGCATCGTGGTGCACACTCATGGGTTTCAACCAACTTGATCGGTTCCCTTTAAGAATTCCTTACGATATTGGGATTTTTCCACTGCATTCATGCATTGAAAGTACTCCATGCAGACGAAGCACTCCCATACGGTGAGCAATTGATTAAAGAAGATTTTATTAACAAACTGTAATCATTTTTTTCATAGAAAATGTGAAACATTTCGAAATGATCTGCAAGGGATCAGAGCACTGGCGATCGTTGCGGTCCTTCTATTTCATTTTTATCCGGAGCACTTTCCTAATGGATACCTAGGAGTTGATCAGTGAGAGAATTTTTTCTATCAATACTTATATTTCTACAATGATGTCGAGATATTTGCAAAACTTCGTACCACGGGTGTCTGTGGTGGGGATCGAACCTTGTTATTACTCCTTCTGGGGACCAACGTTTTCATTGCAAATATCTCAGCATCATTTTCATTGTATTTTGCATCTTACCCTCTCACAAAAAAAAGGAATAGGCAGCAAATAAAGAGTGTATACATTGTGACTTTTATTTCCAGCTATTTTTTTTGGCCCCTTCAACATAAATGATGTCGATCGAAAATTTTACTTTAAGTGAGGAGGTTTCGGTGATATCGCTCTCTCCAAACTGCAGTGGTTCAAATGGAGTGCCCATCAAACAGCTGAAGGCTCATGCGATGTCGCTGCCTTCATAGTGGAATCAAATAGAATCGAGTGAAATAGAGCACCACTGGAATAAAATAACGTTGTTGAATGTTGGGTTTTAGAGGGGAACGGTTCTAGTACGAATGTCGTTGAAGAACGATCCCACTTGATGACATTTACTCCTGTAGCGGTCGGAATTACGCTAACTGACACATAGCAAAATAATCTTTCCCCATTCAACGAAGATGTGTTGTCGTGACTTTTCATTAAATGAAAATTCTTTACTCATGGCAGGGTATTTTGTGAAATGCGAACGAAACGGTGCTTAGATATAAGCAAAACGCGCAACCTGAGGTAGATTTCAGACCGGCGATTACCTTTGCCAAGAACTTATGTGTTATCTTCAAAATCAACCGTGTACCTTTGTTTGCCTTTTTCTCATCGATGGTTTTAGTCTCTCGGTTCTATGAGCAATTTTAGCCGCCGACGGAAACGATCTGAACCGCACAAATTGTCACTGAATGCATTTAAGGTGAAGCTGCACTCGAAATAACTATGATTTAATAATCAATACTTTCTTCGATTATTAAACTAACGCAAAGACGATAAAAGGATAAAGCTATTAACGTTGAACAATCCCTTAGGTGTACGCCATGCATTCGACTTCATTAAGTATCGTTTGGAGGTGACTGAATGCATATCTGGCCTTAACAATGACTCGGCCTGGCCTACCACTGTATAGGGTCAGTGGAACCATCCTTCCAGACAAGTCTGGTGCCAATTTGCGCACCCCGGAAGGATGGAAGGGTTGGTGAGCCGGGGCGCTGGGATCGATACTGTGTGTGTGCTGCAGAGCGCCTTCGACCAATGCACCATACGCGCCCGTTCACACAAGGTTGATAAAAAGGTTTATTCGCCTTACTTTTCGACGTCTTCGACTTCTTCATTTGAGCGGTACTCCACTGAATGGTATTCGACTCGAAACGATGATCGAGAGACCACATCTAGACGGCCAACGACTGTTGAGCATTGACTCGAATCATGGGTTTTAAGGAAGACGAAGACGTCGAAGCGCGAGCAGATTAAGCATTTTTTTGAACCTCATGTTTGCTTAATAATCCAAAAACATATTGATCACAAATCCCGAGGTTGACTGGCGATCAGTTCTAAAAATATTGATTCACGGCGCTTTAACTTCTTTACTGCCTATTCTTTTTTCAAGAAAAAATACGACCTGTAATACAATCGCAAGGATGTCGAGATATCAGCATGGAACCTCTGGTGTATAGCACGTGAGTCTCCTGCATGGGTAACCATGTGTTCGAAGCCCAGCAGAGATTCGGAGTTTTGCTCATATGTCAGAAACCTTGTAGCTTCAAAAAATTGGTGATTTACCTGACTAGCTAACATACGGAGGTATTTAGGTAGTCCGTCCCCACATACGGTTTGATAGCCAGCACTTCTGAAATTTATTACCCAGTGTTGTTTGCAACTATCCCTTATGAAATTGATCGAATTCGCAGGTGGATTCGGTTGCGGCATAGGGATCTGTCTCCTCAAGCAAATGTTAAATGATGGTTGAACGTTGTTTTTGATAGAACCACGACGTAGCCATGCTAAGCCACATTGCAAAATTTGTTAATGACGGCATTGATTCCAGCCATCGCGTTGAATCCGGCGGGTCTCCGACTGTACTTTCGAGGACGGTGTAACAGACAAATTTTGTGTGTCAAATCAGGTATTGCTGCCATCCTTCCAATTAAATTAACTAGCCATGTCCCGACTCACGAATTAAAGAAAACATGGCTAGTCTGGAGCGTGGGTTCGAACCAATAGTGACCACGTGTGCATCCCAGAGCGCCTCCAATTACTATGCTAAATGCACCACCAGGGTGTGTGTAAACATTGTTCTTCCGAATTCTCAATTAACACGTTGAAGATGGATGTCAGAAAGAGAATAGCAAAAAGAAAGGATCGGTCATTAGTACTGGGGTTGAAATTATACTTAATGAGTTCACAGTAGAGGAAGAACTTAGATCCTTTCACAAAGAGAAGATAAAGCAACTTTTCTTCAGTGGTGTGAGTATCTTTTTAAGATCTGTAACAACCTCGCGTCAGCTTAAGAAGATCAGTTTATAAGATCACATAAATAAATATATCAACTATCTATGCCGAGGTTTGTAGAAAGTCGGTCTTTCGAGTTATTAAGAGGTGTGAGTATCGTTGCCATTATTGCTCGCTATTTATTCATCGATTCATTAGCGATTTCAGCTTTTCCTTCACGGCTACCAAAAGTAAATTATGAGGCCTTCATTCACGCTTCATTATTTTCTAATGTTCTACTTGCACTTCGTGAAGCATCTAAAACGACTGAATCAGAGGAAAACTTTAAATACAAAGTGAGTTCGGCATTTTGCTTTCTTACCTTACCACGAAAGGAGCGAATGATACAGTGGTAGCGATGCCGATTATGACGACCATGGTACTGGCTCAATCCCGCTCCGGAATCATCAAGTCTCTTATCCCTCCGGTGTTGGGAAATTGCTACCGACATGTAAGAGAGAAAATCACTCTCTGTAATCGAGTTGGGAACGCTCCAGCCCGACTATGTCAGGACTCCACGGAGAGGCGGCTCGACCCGCCTTCTTTGACGAAATGAAAATCCTTAAGCAGCCGTCGAAATCACACGTAAAATGTTGGAAAATCTTCGTAGATGATGGCTGCAAGCAAACCAATCGACTATGAGAAGTGCTGGTATCGATGCAGTAGATGTGAATGACGGCTCCAATAAAATTTAAAAGGAGACCTACCATAAAATTGTTGCAGGTTTTTCGTGATGTCGGGATTCTTGATGTCCATGATATTGGAAAGAGAAAAAAACATCGGATTTCGGGAAATAGGACATTTCTACTACCGTCGAGTGCGACGTATTTTGCCATCGTATCTTTTGGTTATTCTGTTCCCCCTGGTCGCTTCTAGCTGTTTCCTTTTGCAATGCTTGCAAGTGGACAACTTGAATTCTGCTGTCCATGCTGTGATGTTCACGACAAACATCAAAGCCGCCGACAGTGTCCGAAATTATTTGAAAATGGTAAGTTCAACGAAAACAACAACTTCAGTGTTCTTCTTCATCCTATCATGAAGTTAAAATTTCCAATGATGACCTTGAAGACTGTACGGTCTTCTCTGTAGAACTTCACTTGTCCAAATAGAGCGCTTCGACTTGTTTACCGATATAATTTGATGTCGGCGCGTAGGCGACGAAGTTTGTCGAAGCCGGTATTGATGCACATCTTTTTAATCGTTAACATCTGATTCGGGTTGTAAGCTGTTCGAATTAATCGATGTTCATGGACAAGCTTCTGTTGACGAGACCGCGGATGCTACCGATTCCTCTACTGCCACATGTTTCGAGGAACACTTATTCTCCAGTCTCATAGACGGCGTTGAACGGGTGGCATCGTCTCGTCTCGGCCAAGCCTATTCGCACCTTATGCTTCTAGCTTGCATGAGCAAGTCTTCTATCGAGAACTCGGGTGCAAATGTACGTGCATTTTAAGTACAGATCGTCACCTTATTTTTTCGTAATCCAAGCAGCTTCCATTGGTCCTGAGATTTTTGCAGCCTCTCCGTACTCGCTTTACCCAACGCTGCAGAATTAGGGGCTTTTTCGGGGTCAAGAGAATGAGGTCCGTTCCTTTTACTGTGTTTAGCATTTTGATGCACACGTATAGCTTTCTAGGTTTCTGGACTCTGAACGTGGGGGCTAGGAATACTCACGGATGCCAGACTTTCCCAGAGTGGACATTGAGAAAAAAAAAAGTAGAAAAAAAGTAGAACGTAGCCGCACGTGTGTGCATGAGTACGCCTCGTAAATACAGAAAGTATGTGCCAAATCGGCGCAGCAGAAGCTGGTAGTCTATTCCCTGAATCCGCCTGCGTCTTAGGGACGATACGTACCCTTGCGACTAACCGGCTCGAGATCCCTCATATGATGGACCTCTGTGGCAGACGTTGAGTTACACGACCATTTGTGGTACTGGGGAAGAATTTTCCTCGAAATATGAGACATAGTGAAGGTTTAGTGTCTGGCAAAATTGATTTCGTTTTAGGAACCATACACTCTGGAATTAAAGTGGTAAAACCGATAGAGTCTCAGTTCATTTGAACGCAGTGTAATTTACTTAACAGGCTCTTCCTTGAGAAGCTCATCCACGATTGCAAAGAAATCTTAAGTTTCTGCATATTTTACATGACTTGTCTTTATATTTGCTATGGTGATTTCAGCATTTCTTTCAGTGGTTTGGTTTCCTCAATCGATAATCCAGGAAGCATTTCAATCTCTTCCCAAATGGGTTCTGCTGATGGTTGAGGATTATCGTCTTCTTTATGAATCTCGTTGAACGCCGATCAAGTCGATTGTACCTCAAAAATCGAAATCGGCCAAATAAAGCAGTGCCTATCGGGTTATCGTCAAGTTCATCTTACAAACGATCTGATTCGTATCTGAGAGTTCTGTCCTCCATTTCGGTGTTCACAAGTAAACTGCTGAACAGTTTTGTAATCTTTGAACTTACCTTGATAATGTGTGAAGTCTATACCCCATCACATCTATTGTTTCCTATTATTTCATCGAATGTACTCAAACCTTTGAATCTTACTAAGCATTTCCTCTACTTAGGAGTGGAATGACACCTATGTATTCATGAATATTCTCATAATGTTTGGTGATATGTTTGAAGTTGCTTCTTGTTTTAAAATTATCCACATCCAATCTTCCTAGTCGAAATCCCGTACTATTCGTGGAGCTTTTTTGGATTGAATTTATTTTGGTCTCCTCGACAACTCAAGGAATTTTAAAAGAGTAAAGAAACTATGTAGTTGAACACATTCAAAGATTTCCTTGATGATGCTCAGTAAAGATAGTAGTGCCATAGATTTCAGCTCTCTCAACTTCTAGAAAAAGCATTAAGGATTTTATATAATTCCAGTAGTTTAATTATACTCAACTGCATTTTATTATTGATTTCGCCGCTATCCAAGGATTACTTAAGTATTTATTTATATACGTAACTGCCACTTTCACATTTGCCTTTGGAAGGATGGAATCAACGGAGCCGCTGGTTTTCGTTTATTTCGATCGAGTAAAGCACGTCGAAGGAAACGATGTAACAGACACGACCAGGTTGAAAATATTTCTAAACTATTCGTAGGACGTTCTTAATCGCAAAACCAACTAGTACTCACTTATTGCAAGCTCGAAGTACCACAGTTAACATCATGCTGTACAAATATGTGCTTCAACCGGCCTGACCAATTTTTAACGAATTTCTGGTGATACTGGGATCTCGCCACTGACTTTATACACTCACGAAAAATCTCCGGCTTTAAAGCTCTCCAGATGGAGGATGGCAGATGAAAGATCATTTTGTTAGCAAATTTCAACTATTTTCGTTGCATAGAAAGAAGGACGAGTTCCGAAGTGACCTACAAGGGATCAGAGCTCTGGCCATCGTTGCGGTCCTTCTATTTCATTTCTATCCGGAGCACTTTCCTAATGGATACTTAGGAGTCGATCAGTGAGTTTTTCTTCTACTGGTAATTTGATTTTTGCTCAGTTTTCTCATTGCTTCACCAATTTAAACGAACTCGGTAGAACTTTTTGTTGTGACTGAGGTTTTGATGCTATCTCTATCCCACAAGTCGTATTGATCGGAATAAAGTGTTTATGTAAGGCGGAGGTTTCTCGTCACATCATTATCTCTAGAGTGGAATCAAGTGCAATGAGCGGAGTGGAACACCATTAGAATGGAACAGAGTTGCTCGACATTGGGTTTTTGTAGAGCATGGTTCTAGATCGATCATCATTTCGGAACGATTCAATTAACGATAACTACAAAGGCAGTGAAACGTGGGAAAAACTCGGCACCTCAGGAGGGCTCCTAACTCGCGAACACCCTTACCGAGGCTTACCCGTTATTCACGACACCAATCGAGATCATTGCTTTGCTCATTCCTCCCAGCTATGTTTTTAAACTATCAGTACAATCAACAATTAACCGTCAACAGAAATAACTAAACATAGTAACAGGACCGGATCGAACCAATGACCAGGTGTGCGTTGCGTGGCACCTCTAACGACTTTCTACGCTCCCTAAGTATTCCTGTAAGCCTGATTTTTCTGAATTTCTTGTTTATACTCATAAAATGGATGTGAGAAAAGGCAAGTTCGCTCAATGCTACCCAGGTTGTTATCACGCTCAGTGAGTTCGAAGTGCAGGAAAGCACTACGTGCCTTCACAAGGAAGAGAAAATAAAGGTATTTGCAAATTCCGAAGCCGACTTTTGTTTAAACATGGTATTAATCAAGGATTTGCCGTTTTTTTAAATGAAAAAGCACGAGGTTGTCACTATGGCATATATTTATAGATAATAATTGATGTTTCAGCAGTCTCGCCTTTTTAAGAGCCTAAAAATGCCAAGTCCCCCAACGCTTTGTCGCATCATCGTAGCTAGGAGGTGTTCCTGGGTGTCTACGTGCGATGAACAGCAGAGGAATTAATCTTTCGGCAGGGTCTTCAAAGCTGAGAAGGAGTCCAGCAATTCCATAAGGAAGCACAGTTAATAGCAAGCCGATACCAAGATCCACCACCGTCCTGGTATCAAATTAGTCGCATGGTTACAAATCTCCCTTTCATCCACAAGGACTGCGACTGGCATTGGTGGTGACGACCTGGGGCAGACTTTCGCCCAGCTGTCCTCGGAACTCTAGAAAACCAAAATGGCTAAGCCAGTAAATCTCTGGAGAGTTTAAATTATGCTGGGGCCAGCACAGCCAGTGAGGATAGGAGATCCAAGGAACAAAGTAAGCAAAAAAGTCAAATTGGCACGCAGTCCACTCAGTCAAACACTTTCATAGGTTCAGCGAAAAAATTTTCTACATGAATTTTCATTCGCGTGATAAGGGCTTTAAATAATTATCGTCTTTTTATTTGTAAGCCTCCCAGTTATTCGGTAGACACTAGCTCCACAAAGTCTTACAGGGGTGTGGAAGGTCTTTGGTTTAGAGCAAAAAATCAGCGTGAGGTACGACGCGAGGTGATCAGTGGTCACTTTGCGTTCTTCCTTGCGATTCATTTTTAATTCTTTGTAATTTATCCGAAACGCTTCTGGACTTCTATGCACTGATGTTTCGGATTTCTGTGCAACGCGGTATCTTTTACTACAAAATATGCGTGGTGTCTTCGTACCCTATTCGATCTGGCAAACCGTACCCGAACTCGTGCAGTCACCGTCTCTACAATAGGACATATTATGCTATTTTTCGTTGCACATAAACGGTCACACAGGCGGTTAAGTACCAGCTGGTGTAATAGAGTGCTCGTTGGCAAGTGAAGGTCGAGATAAACGAAGCGTCATTTTGCTAGACTAATGGATTGCGGTGTTCATGGGCGCGTTCATCCTTCCAAACCTATTCTGAGCAGCTACTGTTTCGTAGCCACTGGAAATGCCTGTTTGTTGGGCAACGTCCGTTTCTCCTTCTTTCTGCTCCCATCCTATGGACACACCGGTGGCTATTTGAAACATGTTTCTTACAATAGCAATTTTCTGTGTGAGGAATAAGAGGAGAGATAATAAAGCAGCACGTTTTTTGTTATTTCAATCTCAGTACCTCTTCACGATTACCCAATCTGAACATTAAAAAATGAAAGCCAGTTTTTTTAGGTTTCACTTGGGTGAATGTTATGTATTCTGACTGTTCGTCCAATAACTCAAAGGTTTACCCATTCCCTCTTGCGTGAAAAAGATAATAAAACAATCATCTACATATGTAAAAGAAAGCAATAGGTGCAAATCGATTATTAGAGCTTCGAAATTAAATAGAAAGGCAACGTGAAGGTTTGGTGCTATTCGCAGCCCCATTGCCAACTCTCGCATTTGTGCGAAATGCTTCCCACATTATGTGAAGATTGAGCAATTTATGCACTACTTTAAAAACCCTGTTGGATCGATAAAATATACATCCTTATTGCTTCTCCATATTACGCAAGAAGCTAGCGTTTGTCTTGAATTGCCAAGCTATTCTAGACATTAGCACAAAGGGCGGTGACATCGAACCACACCACGTGTGCGGCTGTTGAGACGTGCGTTGCGTAGAAGATCCCGAAACATTTGAGAATTCGTGAGTGGGCTGGTACGTCTTTCGTCAACTGGATGACAATTAGGTTTATGAACCAAACCATTCTATCCGTGTGCTTTTCTACAAAACAAGTGATGGATATTACTTTAAGTGCTGAAAGGATGGAAGACGCACGATCATCAGTCAATAGTAACTTATGAGTTTCCACAATTAAGTATAGACCAGGACATGCTGGTAATTCAATGCTAGGTGAAGAAATAGCTGACAGTTTCGAACATTCCGCGCTTGCCACTTTGGTCCATTACGTGTCAGATTTTCGATACTGACTTTCGAATCTTAACCCTTTTATTTACTGCCTTTTTCTGGACCAAAGCGGCAATGAACCCAGTTAATTTTTTGAGCTCCCCAGATCAATCCTGTTGAAGGGTGATTGCTGATGGTAAAAGATCAATAAAACTAGCTGAGAGAGAGGCAAAACGAAGGACCCTGACGGTGTGGTGGTGAAGTGCGCTACTCCCCGGT